TGCTGAGCACTTGTTGGCTGTTTTTCCTTCACTCTGCGGTCCAACTCATCCCAAACCATCTCAATTGGGTTGAGGTCAGGGGTTTTGGAGGCCAGGTCATCTGATGCAGCACTCCATCACTCTCCTTCTTGGTAAAATAGCCCTTACACAGCCTGGAGGTGTGTTGGGTCATTGTCCTGTTGAAAAACAAATAACAGTCCCACTAAGCCCAAATAAAGAAAAACCCTGGAATGAGTAGGTGTGTCCAAACTTTTGACTGGTACTGTATATACTGTCTTTTTTAAATGTATGCAAGTCGTTTCAATTATTTGTTAATTTCATTTTACCAATATAATGTAAGAATAAATCCAACTTAATATATTGTTCAAAAGTAAGTATCTTTCATGAGGATAACCAAAGAGAGAGAAAATGTAGTGATTGAACTCATTGGAAGTCTTTGGTTTTAATCACCTTGCATTTCCTAGCTTGCCACCCAACTCTGTTTATAGACGATTGTGGGTAATAATTTTTTGGGGGGGCTTTATGATTCTTTCATACAATGTTGTATGCATGTTTGAAGAAAGAAAAGTATATTTCTATGTTAGTATTAAGCTTGTTGTGCCATGAGATGTAATGGATCATGATGAATGGATATCAAAACCGTGAGGCAAATTGATGTTCAATGAGGACAGCATCCATTCCCACATTCATGATTGTCAATGGAAGAGGCAAGCACAGAATCCTCAATTATTGCAGTTCAACCTCCTCTTACTGCTGGAGGTTTGAACACTGTGCTTGACAATGCCTGCCAAAACAGTATAACATGGCAAATTATCAAATACATAAAACAATGTTAAACATCAAAACTTCAGAAAAAGGGATCTAATTCTGCATTAGACAGGATTCAAAACATCATAATGGTGTTTAGAAGCTTTAGAGAGAGGACACAACACCAAAAGAGAAGGTATCTAATTCTGCACTAAACAGGACTCGAAACACCAAAATAGTGTTTTCAACCTTTTCTGTTAGTGCTCCCAGTCCCTGGCAAAGTGCTGCACAACACTTGATTAAGTGGTGTTACAACACATCATGTGATGTTTTTCATCAAAGTTAAGGTTTCATCTCCTTCAAGTTGGTGGCAGCTCAGTTGCCACTAGTTGTGGTGTTACAAAGCACTTCATTTTAACAGTGCAGACACTGGGAGATGAATTCACCTTTCAGAAGGCCAAATCTACACTGGAGTTGCTTACCAAGAAGACAGTGAATGTTCCTGAGTGGTCGAGTTACAGTTTTGACGTAGCCCTTTCCTGCAGTCAAATGACCTAGTGTCCTCATGGGTGGAATGTTATTAATATTTTTCATAATTTCATAACTAATAAAAAAAATGTTTTAAATAACCGCCGAACATCCGGTGTTTCTATGTCAAACAGTTTTGTTATATTTCAGTCTTCTGTGATGTATATAAAGTGTAATATTGGGATTCAAACTCAAAATGGAATACATTTCAACGTTATATCTGACATGGTACAGGTGTCTTCTTTTTTTTAAGCCCATAACCATGTGTGTGAGGTGTATACTTTTGTTTCAAAGTAGATTTGTTTAAGACTACCAAGAAACACTGTGTGACCCTGATTTATCCCACTGCAGTAAAAGGTTACATATACTTTAAAATCTATAGCAAGACCTTAAAAATGGTTGTCTAGCAATGATCAGCAACAAATTTAACAGAGCTTGAAGAATTTTGAAAATAATAATGGGCAAATGTTGCACAATCTAGGTGTGGAAAGCTCTTAGAGGCTTACCCAGAAAGACGCATTGCTGTAATCGCTGCCAAAAGTGATTCTACAAAGTATTGACTCAGTGGTGTGAATACTTATGTAAATTAGATATTTCTGTATTTCATTTTCAATAAATGTGCAAGAATGTCTAAAACATGTTTTCATTTTGTCATTATGGGGTATTCTGTGTTAGATGGGTGAGAAAAAAAAACTATTTAATCAATTTTTAATTCATGCTGTAACACAACAAAATGTGGAATAAGTCAAGGGGTATGAATACTTTCTGAAGGCACTGAATCTGTGATGGACTACAGACAGGACCAGATGCAAAGTGCCTTGTAATCTGAAAATCTGTTAAACTACCTCAATGTAAATGAATGCAAAGCTGCCATGTTGTCCTACTCCAGGTGATTGAGTGTTCACTCTCTGTGGCAGATTTGTCCTGTCTTTGAACTCTGCTCTCAATTCTAGCATGATGCCAGTCTGTTCTGTCTGCTGTGTTCTGGAAATTAGGGGAATTACCTAATTCAGCATGACAAGGGGATTCACTATCACTTATCCAGACGACACAGATATGCTCTCCTCAAATAGGTTTGTGGTATGGCTAAGTTCCCAAAGGAAGATTCTGTACTTGAGTACTCATAAGGAGGGATTTTACCAACTTCTAGAGAGTCCCAGGAATAGACACTCAATGAGTCCTGAGATTTAAGGATCTAAGTTTAATTCATTTGGGATGTTACATTTTGATTAACTAATTTGACCATTGCACTGCAGCACAGGGCAGTATGCCTCTGTATGACTGTGGACAGCCCTGGGATTTTCTATGAAAGATATGTAACAGAGACTATGTTGCCATGTTTGAACTACCCTGCAAAGACAAGCTGCCAAGAGGAGACTTGGCAAAGTGCTTGGCTCTGAACAGTGTTCTGGGGTAAAACCAATCAGGGTTAAAGCATCACCATCGCCAAAGCAATCATAACAAAGAGAGAGAGAGATGCTTTTATAAAAGCCTTTGAACATTTCTTCTTTGAAATACCAGAAAATGAAACAAGTAATTTCACGTAAAATGCTGAGCAAACATATGGATTATTTATTTAGCCAAAATGGCACTACAGTACTTATATTAAGCACTCAAGGGCACGTTAGTATGTTCCAGTTTACTTTTGCTGTTATGAAAAGAAGTGAAACAAGGTAAATTACTAAATGGTGTATGAGGACCAGACTTCCAGGAGCGAGAGAATTCTATATTGGGCCTCTATTACGTTTGGTAGTTTCCTGGGACTGCCTATAAAGGAAATACCTATACCATAACCGTAAAATATATATATTAATAATAAAAAGTAATTATAATATTCCACAAGGTAGCCTATGAAAATGTGAATGAGGGCTCACTAACGGAGATATTATAGGCCTACTAATGTAGATATGTGTGAGAGTTGTGTATTTGTGTATGTAGTGCCACATGAAAGACAACTCAATTGATCAAATGCTTTGATGATGTTCTCTTCCTTGTCTCCCAAATCTAATGCTATTATGGCCTAGATATAAAGATGTCTTGATTAGAGATTAATACTTATTTCTCTTGTTGAAATAGAATGGGCAGGTTTGGTCCAAATATACAAAAAGTTGAATCAGGTGTGTTAGTGCTGGGCTGGAACCAAAGTCTGCACATAGCAGCTTCCAAGACCAGAAAGTGAGGATCAAACTTAGGTATTACATTGGCTTTACACCAAAGTCAGTCTAGTAGAATAGTATAGGCTATACATAAATCTACAAATGGGTAGATGGATGGATGTACTGACTTGGAGATACCTGCATTACACCTTGGCATAATGCAGCTGTAATGTGGAATATCACCAATTTGACACTAAAGTGCATGAATTCAATTAACCAAACGTTTCTAATAGGCTTTGTTTACCTTCCACTGATTAATGTTTGAATAGATCAAGGATGTTGCCATGCTCAGACATGGATGACACCTTATTGGCAATTCTCTGGCACATGTAGCTCCAACTCGTTTGGATCCGTGACTGGCAAAGTCTCTCACCAGCATGCCGCGAAGCAGGGAATACGTCAACAATGATGGCTATCCATACATAACATACTTTATGTCAATAATGAGGTAGTTTATCTCAATGTTAAATACATTATATCCGTTAAACCAACAATGGTCTCATTTATTGAGCATGGTTCAGCAAAATGCAAATGCGATAAAAGTGAAATAATTTGAATAACTTCAGTTGATATTTTTTCAAAGACATTTAAGTACGACAAAGCGCGCAATACATTTGACTAAAAACGCAGGTTATTAAATCACATCTATTAGCCTAAGCAGTATACTGTATACACAGTATGCCGTCTATTCATTCCGGTATGCAATAAATAAACATAATAAAATAATTTCAAGATACAATTGATACATTCGTACTGACATAAATTGGACTGGACCATGGCATTGGTTGTCGAGAACATACCCAGTGTCAATGTTGCCACCAATTTGTCCTGTCTATTTTAGCAAATGGAAATTGCAGAAACGGCCTATTTGGTATTGGTTTGCATGGGTTCAGGTAACATCAGGTAACATTACATCTATTTCACTCTTACTGAAGTTTGCATATGGCGCACAGAAACATAATGAACAATCAATCAAGTGAATATGCCAGTTAACGGTTGGTTGAAGAGAACAGGTACACCGAACGACATTGACTATAACAACAAATTAATGTGAATGTTGACTGAATAAATAGGCTAATTAACTCAGTTTGACTTGAGATGGCAAGAGGTACTAAAGCTTCATTGTTTTATCAACTCAAATAATAATATATGTAGGCTATCATTGGCGCGTAATAGGCTACCCAAAACCCTATGAGTTGAATTTCAATGTAGGCTACTGTAAAATGATCAATCAATTAGGCGACCCGAGAGAGAAAGCATGGTCGTGGAGAGAGAAAGCATGGTTGTGGATGCTGTGTTTTGATTGGGCTAACCAGGAGACTCGTAATGTGCGCAGTCCCATATAAACCCATGCAGACCAAGCGCTCTATCTGTCATGCTCGTCAAAAGAAATCAGTGTACGGTCCAGGGTAGCCGCATTGTGTAGATGGTAGCCTACTTAGTAACCTAATAGATTTACATTGTTGAAAACACGGCGCTGTACATCTTCAGAGCTGTATGAACTATAAATCAGATAAGCAAGAAACACTATTCCTTGTATTTTGTTAGATCATCAGTGATTATTGAACAATGCCTTTGAGGACCGGACTTTTTCTTCTAATGGTGCTGATCGCATCTGCATATGAACTGGATCAGAACGAGTCGTATTCACCCAGAAGAGCTCGCTTTTCAGCAAATACCCCTTGTAAGTAACAAACAGTCTCTTTTACAATATTGCATATTTTTGAGTGGATGCGGTGTCTCATGCACATATTTGTATTCTATATTACCTTGTATGCACTGCACAGTATGGGGGGAAATGTTTGCCATTACATGATATGCAGCTCTGTTTCCAAGTGAACGAACGCCTTGATCTACAGAATACTGAATAGCTCGAACAAGGCTAGGTTACTCACCGTTACCGGTGTTTTACCGGCAACAGATGAGTGCGAGTTTCGCGGTGACTGACACCTGTGTTGAAAGCTATATACCACCATGAGATGTTGAATAAATGTTCTATGAACAAATGTCTTTGAATTGATGGTCGTGTGGGTTGGTTAAACCCGATGAGTAACCAGAGGAGAGAACATGAGAGAGATTCATATTTCTTTTAGGACAGATATGGAAATTAATTGACGCAGGTGAGTCCACTTGTATAGTGTGGATCAATGCATCAATGGTTACTTGGCCACTGTCTTTACTGTATTATAAACAATTGTTTTGCTTATTGCTTATAGATTGTGTCACATACTCAACAAGTCATTTTGTTTCAGTGTTGCAAATGTCATAAATTAGTCTACCTGCAATGTTGCTTTACGCACTGTTTAAGATTTATTCCCCACTAAATAAATTATCTACAAGTGTTTGGAAACAACTATGGACCCATCACATTTTAAATGTATTGATATTCTTCCAAGCGGTCACCAGTGTAAAGTGTTGATACTATTGCTGTAGGCTAAATAAAAACGGGCTTGTGCGTGGTGGCATAGTCTAGGCTACTGCACCCACCTGTGGCTACTGGCCACCGTCTTGACAGGATGAATGAAGCACCTAATGGCAGAAGAAACTTGAAGGGGATAGGCCTATCAAAGTGAAAGCAAAGAGGGTGGAGACACATAGAGATAGATAGAAGACTCATGTTTGTATCTGTGCCATTGTAGCATCTGTGACAGCATGGGCAGCGCCATTGAGGCAATCTCCATTTTGAAGTAGTCAATTTTTTTCTTCATGATTGGCTGATCCCTCCTAATGGAAGGATCAGCCAATTAAGTTGGAAGTCCCACCCAGTTGACTACATTAAGGGCTGGCTCTAGCCTTTTGGGGGCCCTAAGCGAGATTTGGAGGGATCAGCCAATGAAGTTGGAAGTCACACCCAGTTGACTAAATTTTTATGTCCAATGGTCGATGAGCACCGATATGTTTTATCTATAATTTCTCTTCATATGACAAGGATTGAAAAGGATTTAAAAGGATTTGCCGACTTGATGAATGATGATGACTGCTTGTCTAGCTTGCTAGCTAAGATTTTGAAGGTATGATGTTGACATGATCAGTCCAATCAACGCTACGGTAGATATAACGTGGTTTGACGTCATTTTATCTGTGGCCAATGACCTTGAGCCTTCTTGGATGGGCACTTCTAATGTCTATGGCAGCACCCAAGGGGCTTGATTTTTTTTGCTCTACTCATCAATTCTGCTCTGCCCCACCTGCCTTGAATGACGAGTCGCCACTGTGCATGATGCACGTCCCCACCCACTAATTCCAGCCTGGTCTCATAGACTAGATGTAACATAGTAAATGTAAATCCAGGACACTCAAATTCATATGATATCACACAGAAGGTTACTTCGGGCAAAATCAAAAGTAGGGTGGATGGTCAGGGTGGATAGGTCGGCATATAATGCAAACTTCTAGCAACCCAAAGGTTGCGTGTTCGAATCTCATCACAGACAACTTTAGCTAATTAGCAACTGCTTAGTATGTTAGCTAACCTTAACCCTTTAACCTAACTGCTCAAAACAGAGCAGTACACCTTGCCTTTAACTGCACATACAGAACTAACATCAACAACATGCATGTCAGTCTTTTCTGATTGAGGGTTGACAAGAAATGTACTGTTTCTTGTCTAGTTTTTATGAGAAATATTGCTGTGACGAAAATTCTAGATTGTCTGCATAATCAAATAACATTCAGCTCAGACACCCATACATACCCCACAAGACATGCCACCAGGGGTCTCTTCACAGTCCCCAAGTCCAAAACGAATTCACGGCAAAGCACAGTTTTATACAGAGCCATGATCGCATGGAACTCGCTTCCATCTCCAATACTCAAGCAAACAGCAGAATTACCTTTAAAAAACAGATTAAACAACTAACGGAACGGCGGGGACTGTTAGGGGACACACACACAAACACACGCACACACAGACACACGCTAACACACACATTATTTTGTTGTTGTATTATTTGTATTCGTTTTTAGTTGTATTGTTTGTATATCATTGTATTTTAAATGTGTGTGACTGTCCTTGTTTATCAGTGTATCAGTGTTTTGTTACTAGTCATGTTTTGTGTTTTTTGTGGACCCCAGGAAGAGTAGCTGCTGCAAATTTATTCTCCAAAAATAACAAATAACTCCCCCTAACCTTAACCCCTAATCCTAACCCCTAGCCTAGCTAATGTTAGCCACTTAGCTAACGTTAGCGTTAGCCACCTAGCTAACGTTAGCCACAACAAATTGGAATCCGTAAAATATCAGATGTTTTTCAAATTCGTAACATATTGTACAAATTGCAATTCGTATCATGTTGTATGAATTGCAATACGTAACATATCATATGAATTGTAATTTGTAACATACTGTATCATACAAAATGGAGTGTCCCGGATTTACATTTACTATGTAAAGTCAAGGTTGCTCATTCAGTAGGCTCGCTTTAAGTCCTTTTACAATGGCTTGCCAACAGAAACTGCCCATAAATCCACAAATTAATACATACCATATGAAACGTAACATATCATACTAATTGGAGTGTCCCGGATTTACATTTACTATGTAAAGTCCAGGTTGCTCATTCAGTAGGCTCGCCTTTTTCAATGGCTTGTCAACTGAAACTGCCCATAGTTTTCCAGTGCGATTCATAAAGTGAAAATAAAATCTTTCAAAGAGGAACGATGTTGTATAGCAATAAATAAATTATAAATTATGGCCTAGGTCTACATTGCAGGGGGCTGTCCATGTATTCTGTTTACTGGTAAATTAGTTGCCAGAGGGATGGAATAAATGCTCATGAACTCTTTTCAAAAATGTGTATATGAGATGGTTTTCTATAGCCTACATTCTCAGAAAGTCAGTTGGATTAACAGGCCCATAAAATGAGCAGAGCAGTTAGCGGCCTATGTTAGGAGATAAGGGAATGAATGAGGTGTTATCTAGTTGTGGTCTAGGTGGTCATTAAGCTCTTATTGTTATTTCAGTTAAACCAATGCAGAGGTTACATCAGACTAAGTATCTGCAGCATGGGCCTCCTTGGTCCTACCAATAAGAGATACCGAAGGGGTGTGCATCTTTAGAAATGTAATTTCTATATTTCTATGCGTGCATCCACAGAATGTGGAAATTATCTAACGACCTGAGAGAAACACGGTGGTGGGAAAGTTTGATTAGTGATTAGAGTGTTGCACCACTTAGAGATCACTTATATCTGATTGACAGCCATAGCAATTCATTGCTGATTTGCTAGTTAATTACAGGGTGGGCTCGGCTGGAAAAGGTTCAATGAATGAGAGTGCATCCATTTGTGGTACATAGTACATCAGCTCACTGTCACAATTGCTGTATGCTTACCATGAACTTGTCCCAGTCTTACTAAATGGCCATTAGAGGCATTCATTGGAAGAAATTTGGGGGTTTTCTGGTTACTTTAGATCTTTGCCTCGTCAGTAATTTACACAGCTGTGTATATCAGCTTGCTCTTTAATATTAAGTCTGAGGCAATATTTATGTGACACATATTTTTATGAGGAATGGGGCAGTGACCCATGCAGGCCAGGGTACATGACTGTACTGTTAAGTGTGCACAGTTCATGGTGATGAGTGTCAGAGGTGGTTTGGCACACCTTCCAATTGAGCATAATATTATTGTCTTGTCACATGTGAGGGTAATGGAAACAAGGGGTCTGGTGCCAAAAGTGAAAGTCAGCAGAACCTGATCCTGAATAAGCAACACTAGCACCAGTGTGTGTGTGTGTGTGTGTGTGTGTGTGTGACATGCCATGACTCCCCAGGAGACCTTTGGGTATTTTTGGTGCAGTTGGTCACAAGTCTGTTCCAAGAACCAAAATGCTGGAATATCCATAAAATTCCCAGGAAGAGGAAATGTAATTATCCTAAATTGTGTCCCAGTCTTAAAGGGTTTGACGTGTCCAGTGACCAGTCAAGTTGTAATTTGTCTGAATATTGATGACCTCGGCATAGAATCAACTATGCATGTAAATTCTCATCAGATCACTTCCTTGTTTGGTTCACAACCAATACAGACGGATTATCTTTCAATTCTTGTTGAGGGGTATATGATAGCCTGCCCCCTGCTAATGGTCCCGTCCCTCTCTGTGTCTACAGCTGACGTGGCACGCTGTCTGAATAGTGCCCTCCAAGTAGGCTGTGGAGCTTTCGCCTGTCTGGAGAACTCCACGTGTGACACAGATGGCATGCACGACATCTGCAAGTCCTTTCTGTATAGTGCAGCTAAATTTGACACACAGGTATGATCATTCTTCCTCTCTTTTCAAATCTGACACAATATGTTGCAGTAGATTAAACCTGTTAACTGAAGTTGAGTCATGTTCTGTGATATGACAGTGATATGTGGTTTTGTGCAGGGAAAAGCCTTTGTGAAAGAGAGCCTCAAGTGCATTGCCAATGGCATCACCTCAAAGGTGTTCCTCACCATCCGCCGCTGCTCCACCTTCCAAAGAATGATCTCAGAGGTTCAGGAGGAGTGCTACAGCAAGCTGGATATCTGCACTATCGCCCGCATCAATCCAGATGCCATCGGAGAGGTGGCACAGCTCCCAAGCCACTTCCCCAACAGGTGAGTTCCTAGAAAACCTGGGTCAAAGGGCTTCCATTTCTGTTTAAATGTATCTTTGTACAACAAAAGCTATGTATTTGATACACTCACTCTATTGAAGCAAATACGTTTCAATGGGTTCCCAAAACATACTTTGAAATTGTACAGCAACAAAAATGCATGCTGCATCCTCTTGTAGGTTTTACGGTAAGCTCCTCCAGAGCCTGATGGACTGTGATGAGGAGACTGTGGACCTGGTGAGGGCCAGTATGGTGTCCAGGCTTGGCCCAGAGATGACCATCCTCTTCCAGCTGCTGCAGAACAAGCCCTGCCCCTCGGCTGCTGCTGTTGCTGCTGCCGTTCCAACTGGAGTGGAGGGCCATGGGAGCTTGCAGTGGTCCATGGGTCCACACATGTATAAGATCCAGCCTGGTCTACGCAACAGAGACTCTGCCAGCCATTTAGGCAAGAAGCGTGCCACTAGTGACAGCTCCTAACTCCCACTCAGATCCAGAAACTACACAAACCCCTCAAAAACATAAACAAGCCAACAGTGGTCTCTTCCCTTGGGTATTTAAGAATCATTCCTCTCCAGACTGGAAAATAACATGCACCTCTAAGAGAATAGCCAATGTGTTTCAAGTATATTTGATATCAAAGTTTGAGTTGTTGTGTGAGATATATTGTACCTTAGGTTTGAGAGGATCCTCTCCCCTAAACTATTTCCTAACTCTATCACTCACACTGTTTGTTCATTGAACATGTTGCTATTGTATCTCCACAACTTGGTCCTGTTAATTCCTGTTCACTTCCCATACTTGACATAGTATCATCTGAGAACCAAGTATCATCTGAGAGCCTAGTGAGGATGATGTCCCTCTACGTTTTCTGTCTAGGATTTCAAGCATAAACCTGCAGGTATGGTTCATATCTATAGAGCACAAGTGTTCCCAAATAATTTTGGTTGAAAAGTTCAAATGTCCATCCATTAGTAGAATATCAATTGATAAGTCATCAATATCTTCATCAATATATAACTATTAATATATGTTTAATACAGTTTACATTAGATATTTCTATACTATGATGAGACCAGTACATTTGTGTGCTATATAAATCAGTGTCATATAGTCACTGACACAAACAGGATCCATTTATTTATTGAGTTATTAGTCTCAAATTGCCACAGCCAGCTCTGTGAGAGAGGTGTGTCCCTCAGATGAGAGCAATCCTAATCAACTTTGCGCAGGAAGCTACTTTAGACCGACCAAATAACTTGAAACCACCCGGAATGTTATTCAAAACAGAATTAAATGTGGTGGAAGGTGTGTAGCTAATGCCTATACCAGAGAATATAGCATTGTTCAGATACAACTACATATGTTCTGTCCTGAAACACTCAGTTCACAATAAGTATGGACCAGCAATGTAACTTATGAGCAGGTGACCCCCTGAGATTGATAGAGGTCACCCCCTTGGACTGATGAACAACATTCTCCCTGGTGAATATGACATGGAGGGGTTGGATCATACACACTGACTTCCAGTGTTGATAATGACTATTTAAAAGCCTTGTTGGTATAATACTGATATTTATTTTCCTACTATATTATTTAAGTTGTTATTTTATGATGTTGCTGTAGTTTTAGGTACAGATATACCATTTTAAAGTGCAGTTTGGTCATGGTTCCTATTTCAATGGGGGCTCATGATCAAATACTATAGGATCTGCCACTCTCCACACTTTCTGCTCTGTTGACTGAATAGGACCCATGGTATGACTCTGTGCTGGACATAGGGGAACAACATTGTCACTTATGTACTGTTGCAAGGGGACTTTGTGTATATTTTCCAAACCCAGCTGATTATGTTATAAAGATAGAGAGAAATTGTGGTCAAGCCATTCATTGTACATTTAACAAACAGCTAAACTTGAAGACGGAACTGCGAAGCATTTGCTGGATCTATTCATAACATCATGCAAAATAATGTTTATCTCAGAAAGGTTACCCTGGTGACATAACTCCATAAGTGCTTCAATAAAGGGAGGTTAATTCATGAGACTTTGAGCAGTGTATTTTCACAGTGTTAGCCCTGGCTGAGGGAGATGTATAATAGGGGAAAATAATGTTAAACAGATGTGATGGTTTTCCAATACCAAATCATTTGAAATGTTAAGAACTCACAAACCTATGCAATAATCTCTCATATGGAGGATTCACAGTAACACACAAACATGCCCTTTGTCACAAACAGTGCCAGCTGATGCTGAATATATGTGGCAGCAGCTTATTTGCTCCCATACTTATGGTGAAGTAGCAGGCAATGCAATGTGCCCCTGGACCCCCTTTCTGTTGCTGGGTTTGTTGCCATGGTTTCTGTTGTATTGTTTTTTGTTGTCTTTTTCTTGGGATATAATAATATCTTGCTTTTAGTAGCAATATAGTGTATATTCAAAATAAAAAGTAAGGAAAAAAATCCCTCAGAAATGTTAAGACTGTATTACTTATGTTACATATGCACTTTGCATCTCTTATGACCACTAAATGGCCATTGAATCATTCAACACTTGTGATGGGTTGGGGCTACTTCCTTTCTGTCCTGTTAATATCTCTTTGTCTGTAATAGCTGGACAGATCCAGAACAGTTGCTGCTAAACAATAGCTTGCTCCCTTGTATGATGGATTATAATTTTCCCCTAAAACATTTACTTGGATATCTTTGGTAAAAACCCATTCACAGAACCTGGCATCAATCTGTATACTTGCATTTTACCATTTAGTTTGGAACATCTTCTGGAATTTGTACATTTCTTTGAATGTTGCTTGCAGTGAATATATGCCAATGGTATTCTGTTAATTTCCTCTCCCTTGAGACTATGCTTATACGTCCAAGGTCTGGGTAACTTCAGAGAATGTATCTTATATTGAATGTCTGTTCTGATGAGGATGTGCCCAAACCTAGATGGTTCATTATTGTATTTTAGAATGTGTGTTTTGTTAAAGGTGGTGTATGAAAGTCTGAAAGTCTGAGAATTAAATTAAATTAACAGACTTACAAGTCATATTTTGTTCTTTCAAGACATTTTGTTTTGTTCTTTAGCTTTTTACTGCAGTGGGCTAAATCCGGGTCTAAATCAGGGTCACACAGTGTTTCTTGGTAGTCTTACACAAATCTACTTTAGGTGTGTTCATAAATTCACTCTGAAGTACCAGAGTATGCTCTGGTCGTTCGTAAATTCAGAGCATTGTCAGATTGTCCATTCATAAATTCAGAGCTTTTCAGAGCTTTTTCAGAGCACACACTGGACGCTCTGGCCGCTCTGGCCGAGGAGTAGGGTTAATCCGAGCATTCTGACCTCACAACTGCAGTCAAGCTAACTGGCTAAGTTGGCTAGCTTGCTAGCTACTTCCAGAAACAAATGAGAGAACACCTCACTCTGAGCATTTTACTCGCCCTAGCAGATCTGGTTTTCATGTTTTCTAGAGGATTGGTGACTGTAACTGTGCTCCTGGCAACAATTTAATTACGTTTTTTTGCCGACGTTTACTGACACCGGTCATATTCCACTGGTGTTGCACGTTGGTAAATTCCTCAGTTATTCTGCGCTCTGGCACAATCAGACGAGAGTGCTCTGAAATCGGAGTAGATAGCCAGAGTGGATTTATAAACGCACCCTTTGAAACAACAGTATACACCTCACACACATGGTTATGGGCTTGAAAAAAGAAGACACCTGTGTATGTCAGATATAGAGTTGACATTTATTCAATTTTGTGTTTGCATCCCAATATTACACTTTATATAAATCACAGAAGAATGAAATATAACATTGTTGATTAATTATACAATTATGAAAAATATTCATAACATTCCACCCATGAGGCCACTAGAGGGCAATTTGACTGCAGGAAAGGGCTACGCTATTTGTTGCAAGTCAAAAATAGGGTGAAATTGGGTGGTAGACCTACTGAATTACTGGCTAAATCTATAGCTAAATCTGTCCATAGTGAAATCAGTGAAATCGGCAGCAGCATTTTCTGTTGATACACTATACATTTAGGGCAGGCTGGGGATTGGGCTCCCTGAACTCTGGAACTTCATGGTACTTGTTCTTCTCAAGATTTGAAATCACTATAAATACAGTATACAGTGGCTTGCGAAAGTATTTCCCCCTTGGCATTTGTTCTATTTTGTTGCCTTACAACCTGGAATTAAAATAGATTTTTGGGGGGGTTTGTATCATTTGATTTACACAACATGCCTACCACTTTGAAGATGCAAAATATTTTCTATTGTGAAACAAAGAAGAAATAAGACAAAAACACAGAAAACTTGATCATGCATAACTATTCACCCCCCGAAAGTCTTTATAGAGTTTATAGAGCCACCTTTTGCAGCAATTACAGCTGCAAGTCTCTTGGGGTATGTCTCTATAAGCTTGGCACATCTAGCCACTGGGATTTTTGCCCATTCTTCAAGGAAAAACTGCTCCAGCTCCTTCAAGTTGGATGGGTTCCGCTGGTGTACAGCAATCTTTAAGTCATACCACAGATTCTCAATTGGATTGAGGTCTGGGCTTTGACTAGGCCATTCCAAGACATTTAAATGTTTCCCCTTAAACCACTCGAGTGTTGCTTTAGCAGTATGCTTAGGGTCATTGTCCTGCTGGAAGGTGAACCTCCGTTCCAGTCTCAAATCTCTGGAAGACTGAAACAGGTTTCCCTCAAGAATTTCCCTGTATTTAGCGCCATCCATCATTCCTTCAATTCTGACCAGTTTCCCAGTCCCTGCCGATGAAAAACATCCCAACAGCATGATGCTGCCACCACCATGCTTCACTGTGGGGATGGTGTTCTCGGGGTGATGAGAGGTGTTGGGTTTGCGCCAGACATAGTGTTTTCCTTGATGGCCAAAAAGCTCAATTTTAGTCTCATCTGACCAGAGTACCTTCTTCCATATGTTTGGGGAGTCTCCCACATGCCTTTTGGCAAACACCAAACATGTTTGCTTATTTTTAAGCAATGGCTTTTTTCTGGCCACTCTTCTGTAAATCCCAGCTATGTGGAGTGTATGGCTTAAAGTGGTCCTATGGACAGATACTCCAATCTCCGCTGTTGAGCTTTGCAGCTCCTTCAGGGTTATCTTTGGTCTCTTTGTTGCCTCTCTGATTAATCCCCTCCTTGCCTGGTCCGTGAGTTTGGGTGGGCGGCCCTCTCTTGGCAGGTTTGTTGTGGTGCCATATTCTTTCAATTTTTTAATAATGGATTTAATGGTGCTCCGTGGGATGTTCAAAGTTTCAGATATTTCTTTATAACCCAACCCTGATCTGTACTTCTCCACAACTTTGTCCCTGACCTGTTTGGAGAGCTCCTTGGTCTTCATGGTGCCCCTTGCTTGGTGGTGCCCCTTGCTTATTGGTGTTGCAGTCTCTGGGGCCTTTCAGAACAGGTGTATATATACACTGAGATCATGTGACAGATCATGTGACACTTAG